TCATATATTGTTAATGTCACGTCATTCATTTTTATCTTTCGTACACAGCAATATTCAGATCGATACCACACAGTGCAAACTGATCGTTTTAAGGTTGAAAATGGTCGATTAAAGTACAAGAGTCCCCTTTGTAATATAAACAAAAATTAGAAATCTGCATTATTTTCATTAACCATAAGTTTCTAATCTCAAGTCTTTCATTTATACTGATTCATATCATCAACAAGCGTGATACCTATTTTACATTCTTCCTACACGTATAGATACAATAGCAAAAAAAATCCTTTCACACTTTTTCCTCTACCTCTTCTGAAATACGTTTATACATATTAGTGAAGAAGAGAAAAGACAAAAATCAACTAGTTATTACAGTGCACAGATAAATAATACCTTTCTTTCAATACAAAATAAGCAATTCTACATTTCGAACACACACAAACCATATGTGCACATGCTTAACACCCAGGCCATTCACAAAGACAAAGAAATATAAAAGTCACAATACAGCGACGCTTGCTATTTCTTTTCGTCGTCGTCCTCTTTAGCGAGAAAAAGCTCTACCTTGCGATTCACGGATGAATAAACAGCCTGCACATATTCAGCCATAAGACCGAGAAAAAACATCTCTCACCCAACACTATATAAAAACACAACGAATACATCAAAGCACAATACATCAATATTACAAAATATACCTACTTGCCTCTCAACATATAAACAAACATCCACTCTCCCAACAAAAAAATCATGCAGCTCAAGGTAATTCTTTTACTCTCCCTTATAGCCATTACTACCGCATGGCCAGGACGCAGAAATTACAACTGGGACGACGATGATGGCAGCAATACCGAAGGATTTTATTTGCGCAAGTTCCTCGATCTACTAATGGACAAACGTACAGATGATTAATTTATACCGTTCTTGGTTTACCAATATAATCCTACTCAACCGTGTACTCGAAACGCGTATAAAGCGAACACAAACCTGGAGGATAGTATCCATTTCTCATATGATGTTTACTCATAGACTGAACATCAATCTATAAATTCCATGCGGATCAAAGAGATGAATAGAACCTAAGTCAATAGTATTCATTACTCATAAGATCTTTACTCATACATTCAACAACATTCTACCACTTCGAACCGGATCAAAGAGATGAATAAAATTTTTGTAAATACTATTCACTTCTCACACGATGTTTATTCATAGATACAACATCATTCTCCCACTTCGAAGCGAATCAAAGCGATGGAGAGAATTTTTGTGAGTAGTATTCACTTCTCATATGATATTTACGCATAGATACAACATCATTCTACCACTTCGAAGGGAATGAAAGCGATGAATAGAATGTTCTTGAATAGTATTCATTTCTCATATGATGTTTACTCATAGATTGAACACCATTCTACCAGTTCGAAGTGAATGAAAGCGATGAATAGAATGTTCCTGAATAGTATTCATTTCTCATATGATGTTTACTCATAGATTCGACATCATTCTACCGCTTCGAAGCGAATGAAAGCAATGAATAGAATGTTACTGAATAGTATTCATTTCTCATATGATGTTTACTCATAGATTCAACATCATCCTACCACTTCGAAGCGAATGAAAGAGATGAATAGAATGTTGGTGATTAGTACTCATTTCTCACATGATGTTTACTCCTAGATTGAACATCATTCTACCACTTCCAAGCGAATGAAAGAGATGAATAGAATGTTAGTGAATAGTATTCATTTCTCATATGATGCTTACTCATAGATTCGACATCATTCTACCACTTCGAAGCGAATAAAAGCGATGAATAGAATGTTAGTGAATAGTATTCATTTCTCATATGATGTTCACTCATAGATTCAACATCATTCTACCACTTTGACGCGAATCAAAGAGATGAAGAGAATTTTTGTGGGAAGTGTTCATTTTTGAAACGATCTTTACTCATAGATTCAACATCATTCTACCAGTTCGAAGCGAATCAAAGCGATGAATAGAATGTTCCTGAATAGTATTCATTTTTCATATGATGTTTACTCATAGATTGAACATCATTCTACCACGTAGATGTGAATCAAAGAGATGAATAGAATGTTCGTGATTAGTACTCATTTCTCATATGATGTTTACTCATAGATTGAACAGCATTCTACCACTTCGAAGCGAATCAAAGCGATGAATAGAATGTTCCTGAATAGTATTCATTTCTCATATGATGTTTATTCATAGATTGAACATCATTCTACCACGTAGATGTGAATCAAAGAGATGAATAGAATGTTGCTGATTAGTACTCATTTCTCATATGATGTTTACTCATAGATTGAACAGCATTCTACCACTTCGAAGCGAATGAAAGAGATGAATAGAATGTTACTGAATAGTATTCATTTCTCATATGATGTTGACTCATAGATTCAACATCATTCTGCCACTTTGACGCGAATCAAAGAGATGAAGAGAATTTTTGTGTGAAGTGTTCATTTCTCATATGATGTTTACTCATAGAGTCAACATGATCCTACCACTTCGAAGCGAATGAAAGATGAATAGAATGTTACTGAATAGTATTCATTTCTCATATGATGTTTACTCATAGATTCAACATGATCCTACCACTACGAAGCGAATGAAAGATGAATAGAATGTTACTGAATAGTATTCATTTCTCATATGATGTTTACTGATAGATTGAACATCATTCTACCACGTAGATGTGAATCAAAGAGATGAATAGAATGTTGCTGATTAGTATTCATTTCTCATATGATGTTTACTCATGGATTCAATATCATTCTACCAGTTTGACGCGAATCAAAGAGATGAAGAGAATTTTTGTGGAAAGTGGTCATTTTCGAAACGATCTTTACTCATAGATTGAACACCATTCTACCACGTAGATGTGAATCAAAGAGATGAATAGAATGTTATTGAATAGTATTCATTTCTCATTTGATGTTTACTCATAGATTCAACATCATCCTACCACTTTGACGCGAATCAAAGTGATGAATAGAATGTTCGTGATTAGTACTCATTTCTCATATGATGTTTACTCATTGATTGAACATCATTCTACCACTTCGAAGCGAATGAAAGAGATGAATAGAATGTTACTGAATAGTATTCATTTCTCATATGATGTTTACTCATAGATTCAGCATCATTCTACCACTTCGAAGCGAATGAAAGCGATGAATAGAATGTTAGTGAATAGTATTCATTTCTCATATGATGCTTACTCATAGATTGAACATCATTCTACCAGTTCGAAGCGAATCAAAGCGATGAATAGAATGTTCCTGAATAGTATTCATTTTTCATATGATGTTTACTCATAGATTGAACATCATTCTGCCAGTTCGAAGTGAATGAAAGCGATGAATAGAATGTTGTTGAATAGTATTCATTACTCATATGATGTTTAGTCATAGATTCAATATCATTCTATCGCTTTGAAACGAATCAAAGTGATGAATAGAATTTTTGTGAGTAGTATTCATGCGTCATATGATCTTTAGTCCTAGGTGCAATATGAGTCCAATTATTTGTTTAGAATCAAAGAGATGAATAGAATATTTGTTAGGAGTGTTGTTTTGTGATGTGATGTTTAGTCATGGGTTTAACATGGTTGTACTTGTTCGAAGGAAATCGAATAGATGGATGGAATGTTGATAAGTATTCCTTGGTGAGTCGATTTGTACTCGTGGATTAAGGAGGATTCTACGATTTCGAATCGAATGAAAGAGACGAATAGCGTGTTTGTTGAGCGTATTCATTTGTTATATCAGTAAGTTAAATATCCATAACATTTTTAGCAGAAACTCAATAGATATATTTTTTTCTTTTTTGGCAGGACGAACATATTCTGGCTTTATATCATCAATCAAGCAACCTTCAAGTACACCATGCCGCCGTAGTTTGACTTTTATTTTTCTTCTTTATCTTAGTTTGACTTTTTTTTGGTTCATCTACGTTTCTAAGATTCTCGCAGTTCCAGTTTTTCTCGCTCCCTTCATTTTTCATTTTTATGTAGTATTTATTAGCTTTTAATAAAATTTCATAATGTACCAGCATACTTTTTCTATAATGGAGAATGCACATGTGGCAAGAAAGAGAAAGAAGAACAATAAAAAACAAATAAAAGAAACAAAAACACGAATAAAACAGAAAAACAGATAGAACATCGCATCAAGATTGCATTAAAGTTATTTTGCTTAAGGCGACGGCCGGAAAAGGGAAAACTAGTAACCATTGCTGTATTGATATAGGACTGTTTACATGTCTTTCCTGAAGACTGTGGCTGTTACGCATTTAAAAATCCCTCTATTTCGTGATAAAATTTTAGAAGAGCTGTTTTTACATTGAAAGAATGAAAGATTGTGTTTTTGAATTTTTATGAGTAGATATTGTGGTCTATTCTCTTCATCACTCAGTTACATATATATCACTTTTTGAATGAATGAATATCGGATCCGTTTATTGAAGAAAACAGCAAGTATATATACATAGGAGAAAGACAATAGACGCACTAGAGAAAAAGTCAAGAAGCTTCGTCCGTCTGTTTAGAAAATGAACAATAGAAAGAAAAAGACAATGGTTCTTCTTACTCAACAAAGACGTCAGTTAGGAAAAGTGAGTAAGACGAAAAAGAGCATATATACAACAGATGGATAGAAAAAGAAAAGAACAAGAACATATGTATAATAGTTGGACCGAAGCGAAGAGAAGTGAAGCACTATGTAACACCTCCCCCTTTTGACCAAGAGATCGTCCCGATCTCGAAAAGAACAAAAATTATTAACACTGCAACAATTTTAACAACAATCTGAGCTTGAACGAAAAAGATAGAGTAGTTTTTTGCTTTCGATTTAATGTTCGTTCGTGTCTATTGATACACAAAAGTAATATCTTGAATAACTACGACGATAATAATCCAAATGAAAGCCATGCCAATGGAAAAAAAAACAATAGTTTGAGTTGCAATACTCTTTTTACTCACAATCTTCACGAATACATATAGGTTTCATGTCAGATGTGGTCACCTGTTTTGTATAATTTGGATTATGATCATTATCTGGATCTTCGATTTTTACGATAAACGTTGAGGGCCCCTTTTGATCAATGATTCGATAAGGACCTTCGTATTTTTCTTGTAATTTTGATACTTTATTAATTACTCGTATCAGAACTAAATCGTTGATATGATATATTGGATCTAGTCTGTTTCGATCATATCTAATTTTTGCTAATTTACTTTGATGTTGAATATTCAATTTTGCATGATTAATAATAATGCTTCTAGCTCGTTTTACTTTTTCATAATATTGATTTGGTTTTGAAAGGGATACTTTCATTTGTTGCGGATCCATAAGTAGTAAGTTTTCTCCACCAAACATAATCTGAAATGGACTAAATGTTGTTGTGCCATGTTGACTGGTGTTATACGCATAAATAATTGGTTGTAGTAATTCGTTCCAGTCTTGTTTTTGTTCATTCATTAATTTCGATAATGCTGGAGCAAACGTTGCGTTAAATCTTTNCACTTTTCTTCTACTAAATCTATTCTTTGCAAATAACATGAAGCTTGTGTTCAACGTTTTCCATTCAACCTCTAAATCCGAATTTTAGTCCCCAATACCGTCATTGATATGAATTGGTAAAAAAATCATCAGTTTTGTATTTCATATACCGACAGATGCACAATCCGATTGGGTGAAAATTTTGTTTAACGATTCTGAAAAAAAAAATACATACATGCTATATACTTTTTCTTTTTATTTGAAATCTTGAAGCCTTTTAATATTCTATGACAGTTCATCCTCTTTCTTTTATTTTCACAGACCACCGTCCTAATTTTTTCGAGCTGGATAGAAGCTGATGCGCATAGCATCAACAGGTGTCCCGTTCTCAATAAATATTTTCATATATTGTTAATCTCACGTCATTCATTTGTATCTTTCGTACACAGTCCAAAGTCATCGTTTTAACGTTGAAAATGATCGATTAAAGATGAAGAGTCCCCTTCGTAATACAAACAAAAATCGGAAATGTGCGTTATTTTCCTTGACCATAGGTTTCTAACCTCAAGTCTTTCATTTACACTGAATCATATCACTAACAAGCGTGATACCTAATTTACATTCTTCCTACTGGTATCGATACCACAACAAAAATATCCATTCATACTTTTCCGCTTTCCCGTCTCAAATACTTTTAGACATATTACTGAAGAAGAGAAAACACGAAAAACAACTAGTTATTATAGTACAAAGAGAAAAAATACCTTTCTTACAATACAAAATAAATCATTCTTCATTTCGAACACGCACGAACCCTATGCGCACACTCTTAACAGCCAGACCGTTGACAAAGACAAAGAAAAATAAAAGTTACAATACAGCGACGCTTGCTATTTCTTTTCCTCACCGTCCCCTTCAGCGAGCAAAACACTGTGCCTTGCTATTCACGGATGGATAAATCACCTCCACATACTCAGCCGGAGAAGCGAGAAAAACCATCTCTCAGCCAACACTAGATAAAAGCACAACGAATACATTAGAGCACAATAAACCAAGATTAGAAAAAAACATCTACTACCATCTTAAAGAATAAATAAACGTTCATCCTATCAACCCCGCAATCATGCAGCTCCAGGTACTCGTTTTACTTTCTCTTATAGCCCTTACAACGGCATGGCGAGCACGCAAAACTTACAACTCGGACCACAGCGATGATAGCGCCGTCGAAGAACTTGCTGTGCGCAATATCCTCAACCTACTGGTGAACAAACGTACAGATGATTCATTTATTCCTTTCTCCGTTTAGCAATCTATTCCTATTCAACCATATACGCGACACGCGTATAAAGCGAACACAAACATGATACTATTCCTTCCTCATTTGTTGTTTACTCATAGATTCAACATCATTCTACCACTCCGTAGCGAATCGAACAGATGAATACAATGTTCCTGAAGAGTATTCATTTCTCACATGATGTTTATTAACACATTCAACATCATTCTATCACTACCAACCGAATCCAAGAGATGAATAGAATGTTTCTGAATAGTATTCATTTCTCACATGATGTTTACTCATAGATTCTACATCATTCTATCACTTCGAAGCGAATCTAAGAGATGAATAGAATCTTCCTGAATAGTATTCATTTCTCAAATGATGCTTACTCATAGATTCGAGACGATTCTACCACTTCTTAGCGAATCAAAGAGATGAATAGAATGTTGATGAGTAGTATTCATTTCCCACATGATGCGTACTCATAGATTCAACACACCATACTACCACTTCGAAGCGAATGAAAGAGATGAATAGAATGTTGATGAATAATATTCATTTCTCAAATAATCTTTACTACTAGATACAACATCATTCTCTCACTTCGACACAGATCGAACAGATAAATAGAAGGGTTATACATGGTATTCATTTCTCATATGATGTTTACTCCTGTATAAAACATCATTCTGTCACTTCGACGCAGATCGAAGAGATAAATAGAAGGTTTTTAAACAGTAATCTTTTCTCATATGCTCTTTACTCATAGATTCAACATCATTCTACCACTTCGAAGCGAATCAGAGACATGCATAGAATGTTACTGAATAGTATTCATTTCTCATGTGATGTTTACCCACAGATTCAACATCATTATTCCACTTCGCAGCGAATCAAAAAGATGAATAGAATGATCCTCTATAGTATTCATCTCTCGTATGATGTTTACTCATACATTCAACATCATTCTACAACTTCGTAGCGAATAAAACAATTGAATAGAATATTCCTCAATAATATTCATTTCTCATCTGACGCTAACTCATAGAATCAAAAACACTCTATCACTGCGAAGCGAATCAGAGACATGAATCGAATGTTCCTGAACAGTATTCATTGCTCATTTGACGTTAACTCAAAAATTCAACATCATTTTATCAATGCGAAGCGAATCAGACACATGAATCGAATGTTCCTGAACAGTATTCATTTCTCATTTGACTCTTACTCATAGGTTCAGTATGACTATACCACTTCGTAGCGCGTCAAATAGATGAATCGAATATTTCTGAATACTATTCATTTCTCATATGATGTTTGCTCATAGATTCAACATCATTTTCCCGCTTCGCAGCGAATCCAACAGATGAATAGAATGATCCTGAATAGTATTCATCTCTCATATGATGTTAACTCATACATTCAACATCATTCTACAACTTCATAGCGAATCAAAGAATTGAATAGAATGTTGCTCAATAATATTCACTTCTCAAATGACGTAAACTCATAGATTCAACATCATTCTATCACTTCGGAGCGAATCAGAGACACGAATCGAATGTTCCTGAACAGTATTCATATCTCATTTGACGTTAACTAATAGATTCAACATCACTCTATCACTTCGAAGGAAATCAGAGACATGAATAGAATGTTCTTGAACAGTATTCATTCCTCATCTGACGTTTGCTCATAGACTCAAAATCATTCTACCACTTCGAAGCGAATCACAGACATGAATAGAATGTTACTGAATAGTTTTCATTTCTCATATGCCTTTTACTCTTAGATTCAACATCGTTCTAGCACTTCCAAGCGAATGAAAGAGATGAATAGACTTTTTGTGCATAGTATTTCTTTCGCATAACAATTTGACGCGTAAATTGGACATCATGCTTTCACTTCGAAGCGAATCTCAGGCATGAATAGAATATTGCTGAATAGTATTCATTTCTCATATGATGTTTGCTGATTATTTCAACATCATTCTACCAGGTGGAAGCGAATCAAAATGATGGAGAGAATCTTTGTAAATAAAATTCACTTCTCATATGATGTTTGCCCACGCATGCAACATCATTTTACCACGCGGATGTGAATGAAAGACATGAATAGCAGCTTTATAAATGGTATTCATTTCTTAGTTGATGTTTCCTCGTAGATTCAACACCACTCTACTACTTTGAAGTGAATCAAAGAGATGAATAGAAAGTTCCTGCAAAGTATTCATTTCTGAAATTATGTGTACTGAATGGTTCAAGATCATTCTACAACTTTGTAGCGCATCAAATAGCTGAATAGAATGTTGATCAATACTGTTCATTGCTGAAATGATGTTTACTCATAAACTCAACATCATTCTGTGACTTCGAAGCGGGTCAAAGAGATGAACAGAATGTTGATGAATAGTATTCACTTCTCATGTGATGTGTACCCATGCATGCAACATCATTGTACTACTTGGAAGGGAATCCGAAAGATGAAGAGAGTTTTTGTGCAAGGTTTTCCTTTCTCATATGATGTTTACTCATAGCTTCAACATAATTCTACCACTTCGCAGCGAATCGAACAGACGAATAGAATGTTCCTGAATAGTATTCATTTCTCGTATGACGTTTACTCATACATTCAACATGGTTCTGTGACTTCAAAGCGGATCAATGAGATGAATAGATGGTTATTAAATAGTATTCATTTCTCATATCGTCTTTACTCATACATTCAACATGATTCTGCAACTTCCAAGCGCATGAAAGAGATGAATAAAAGGTTTTTAAATGGTATTCTTTTCTCATATGATGTTTAGTCATAGATTCAACATTATTCTACCACTTCGTAGCGGATCAAACAGATGAATAGAATGTTTCTGAATAGTATTCATTTCTTATATGATGTTTATTCATACATTCAGCATCATTCTATCAGTTTCAAGCGATTCAAAGAGATGAACAGAATGTTGCTGAATTGTATTCATTTCTCATATGATGTTTACTCGTAGATTCAATATCATTCTAGCTCTTCGGAACGAATCAGAGAGATGAATAGAATGTTCCTGAACAGTATTCATTTCTCATTTGATGTTTACTCATAGATTGAACATTATGCTACCACTTCGTAGCGCATCAAAGAAAGGAATAGAATATTGCTGAATAGTATTCAGTTCGCATATGATGTTTACGGACAGATTCAACATCATGCTACTACTTCGATGGGAATCAAAGAGATGAATAGAATGTTCCTGAACAGTATTCATTTCTTGTATGATGTTTATTGATAGATTCAACATCATTCTACTACTTCGATGCGAATCAAAGAGATGAATAGAATGTTTCTGAATAGTATTCATTTCTCACATGATGTTTACTCATAGATTCTACATCATTCTATCACTTCGAAGCGAATCTAAGAGATGAATAGAATGTTGATGAACAGTATTCATTTCTTGTATGATGTTTGTTGATAGATTCAACATCATTCTACTGCTTCGATGCGAATCAAAGAGATGAATAGAATGTTGATGAACAGTATTCATTTCTTGTATGATGTTATTGATAGATTCAACATCATTCTACTACTTCGATGCGAATCAAAGAGATGAAT